TGGCCCGATACATCATTTTCCTATTGAGACCGTTTTTGGCTCATCTTGGCTTTCTCGAGAAGGTGATCTTTCAAGGGGATGCCCCCCAGTGTTCGAGGTTGATTGAAGAGGAGCCTTGAACACTTTGTAAAATTCTCCTTAGGTAGCACATAAATGTTTCCTCATTAAAAACCTTGTCGGTAAAAACCTTATTGGGATAAAATGCGATCGAAGAAAAAGAGTACAATATAGGCTTTGAAACCTTAAGGTCTTCGAGCTAGATAGCGCTTCGACTGTTCTGATCGGACATTTGCACGAAGGTTAGTGTAAGATGTAAATAAAAAGGGGGATGGTCATACCTTAGTGGCGATGGCGCTTTTGAGCCTCGATATGTTTCCAACGTTTTCTCCAAGGACGCGACACAGTCGTTTGCTTGTTTTATTAGGGTATAGCCGAGAATGTGTCTCATGATTTCTATTTCACTATTTGCTTATCCCGTGGCTCCTTCGATGTCGAAGGCATCGATGCCGGTGCTACGTCGTGCACTGCAAACATCTCTCTTTTTGCATGTTATTCCCGTACACATTTTTTATTCTGTCCTTTGTTGGAAACTTCATCATTTGATGAAGGGTTGATAGCACTACTCTTATGTAGTGTATCCATGGCCTTCCGATCAAGCGTTGTACCTCATGTCTCCATCGATAACATGGAATTTGGCATTTCGTGTTGCTTCGGCCACGCTGACCGGGAGGGTGAGATCCCCTTTGGTTGTCTCGCTCGCTATATTGAATTCGTTGAAGACTCGAGAGGCGGGCACGACCTGGTCAAGCAGTCCGAGCTTCTCGACGACCCTTGACCTGATAATGTTAGTCGAGCTGCCTGGATCCACAAGCACACGTTTAATTTGAAATGTATTCACAAGAAAATAAATTACCAATGCGTCGTTATGAGGCTAAAACAGGGTCTCGATGTCCTCATTGCTGAACGTGAGAGTGTCCTTGGGTATGTAACCTCGAGTTCTCTTTTCCCTGGTGATGGATATTTTTATTCTTCTGATAGTGGGTTCCTGTGGGATGTCAACTCCCCCAAGAATCATGTGGATGATATGTCATGGTTCATTTGTTTCGTTCTTCATGTTTGCCTCTCTTTCCCGGAACTGATTTTTGGCTCGGTCACTAAGGAACTCTCGGAGGTGCCCTTTGTTGAGTAGCTGGGCCACTTCTTCTCGGAGCTGTCTGCAATTTTTGGTCTTATGACCGTGTGTGCCATGGAATTCGCACACTAAGTTGGGGTCCCTCTACGACGGATCCGATAGTACAGGTCTTGGCCACCTGGTGTCTCTAATTTTACTGATGGCGAATACGATGCCTGAAACGTCAACGTTAAAGTTGTATTCAGACAGGCGGGGTGCCTCCATCGGTTCTGTGTGCCTGTTGAATTCGACTCTACTCATGAGTCCCCAAGGGTTCTGACCTCGGTCTGTTCTTCGATCATTTCGGGGCATGTTACGCCTTGGGGCGTTTCTCCTATATTTGGTGTATGGTTGGTACCTTTCCTTGTTTGACTTTGGCTTCTTTGCCAGGAATCTTCTTGGATATACCAAGCCCAAGAGGGCTCCCAGTTGGTCGTCCTTGACCTTAATCTTCAACTCATATCGGTTGTGGGCATCCGACCAAGTCACGGCGGGGTATTCAACCAAATTCTGCTTCAGCTGCTTCGAAGCCACCGAGCTTCGTTTGTTCAAGCCTTGGGTGAAGGCTTGTACTACCCAATCATTAGAGACTGGTGTTAACCATTCACTCCATTTGAAAGCGAGATACGAACTCCCGCAGCATCTCGTTTTCCCTTTGTTTGATTTTGAAAATGTGGGATTTCCTTATAGCCACCTTGATGGCACCGACATGTGCCTTTATGAAAGAATCTGCCAACATGGCAAATGCGTCTATTGAATTCTGAGCTAGGTTGTGATACCACATCTTGGACCCTTTTGAAAGTGTTTCTCCGAACTTCTTCAACATGACGGATTCGATCTCGTCGACCTTCAGGTCATTTCCCTTTACGGCTGTGATGTGCTCGTTAGGGTCTGAGGTTCCATTGTACTTCGTTAGATCGTACATTCTGAATTTTTTCTTTATGGGCTTTGGAGCGGCATCTGATGGGAATGGTTTTTGTTCGAATTCTTTGAATCAACACCCTTCAGGATCGGGGGTGCGCCCGGGATCTGGTCGACCCTCGAGTTATAGGTCTCTACCTTTTTGTCGTTGGATTCTATCATTTTTTTGCCCGATTCAATCCTCTTTGTGAGGTCCTCAAGCATCTTCATAATAGCGGGGTCGATGTTGACCCATTGTTACTCGATCTTTCCAATACCTGTTCGGCTCGAAGAGCCGTTTTCGGTGTTGCTATGCTTGGAGATTTTTTATGGCTTTGCAGTTGAGCAATCACCAGCTATTGTGCCTGTAACATTTCCAAAATAACATGAAGGCTAACCTCTTGTTCCTCTCGAGCTAGGGTTTTCTGAGCTTCTTGTTGGTCTCCTAGTCGTACGCTTCTGTTAGTGTGGGAGCTTATACCGACGTGTTGAGCATCATGTGAGACCACATCCGTGGGGATTGGCTTTGGTGCGTCCTCAGGGTTTCGTGGTGGTACACCAATACCTGGAACAGCTACACCATTTTCTCCATAGTCTTCAAGACCATTGTTTTTACATGCATTTACTGAGTTAGACATTTTGACCTGAAATCAAAGATTCTTGGACAAGAAAAAGCGTGAAAGATAACTTGCGTTACGTGTTAAACCAGCAAGAAAACAATTACTATTATTTTTAGCCCCACGGTAGGTGCCAAACAGCTTACCTTGAAGTTCTAAAAATATGTGATCTATTTTTATGCTAGTTATTAGATAATAGATGCTAAGTGTGAAACTAGGAAACAAGGTAAGAACTTGAAAGTAGTGTGTTTAAGTAAACCGAGTGGCTGAGAATTGGGGCCTCGGCCAGGTTATACGGGGCCTCGAGGTCGATCTAAGTTCTAAGCTATGATCGGCTGATGAAGCTCTAACAGTATTAAAAGCTTTGATGAAGGCTCTTTATGACCAATAATGAGTAATAAATGAAGAACAATTAATAGAACGCAATACATGTAAGCAATAAATGTAAGTAATAAAATCAAGAGAATATGTTTAAGTTAGAAGACAGAGAGAATGTTCTTGTATTGAATGTTGTTAGTGATATTGTATCCCGTGCAAAAAATAACAAGGGTCCCCTTTATATAGAAGGGGAAATTCCAACATAGTACATGTGCATTTATTACAAAGGTATATGGCTGGTACAACCGCTTAATGCCACGGTGCGGGCTTGAACTAACCCAATAGACTTGGTCAGCTTTAGTCACGTGCCTAGGGAAGTTCTCGTTAGTCCATCATAGATGTTGATTTGCACTGCCTCAAGGTCGATCATTGAGAACCCTCGGGGTCGAGCCCCGAGCTAAAATTCGAGCCTTCTGGGGGCGATCTTTACGAGGTTCCTCAACGGTCACGAAATCGGACCGTTTGATTTTTCCCGTATATAGTAGGGTCCCTAGAGGTCCACATGAAGAAGTTCAAAAGAAGAAGTTGTGGTATGGTTCTATGGGGGAAAGCAAGTCTAGATTGCCTGGCCATGGGACAAATAGAGCAGACAAAAGGTTGCTTAGTTGAGAATTGAATAGGAATGAAGGATATCTCCCTTATCTTTACAAAAAGGGACATATCCCAATCTATAATGCCACAGTAAGTCAACTTGATTCATATTAGACAAGAAATAATGTGATAAAATGCACTAAGTTTTATTACCAATGGAACTATTTACAATTGAGTGTGAACTGCAAGTGGAAACATTTATAGGTGAATCAGAATGTTGGCACTGGAAGCTATTTACATCAGAGGTCTTAGACAAAGCAGAATCTGAAAGAGACAAAGAGACAGGTGAAGTTGAGCAGGAGTTCTTCAAACAACTTGAACACAAGAGGTACAAGCCATCCTTGGCCTTACCAATCTCCAGAGGCCTCTTCATTGAAGCGGCCTGCAAGTAGACATAGAAAGTTAGAAAAAGCTACTAGACCTTTGAACTGAGAAGCTAAAGAATGTATTGAAATAAGATTGTATTTGAAAGAAGGAACATAAAGGATTCTCTGCAAGATAATGTTTGGTGCAAGAGTAACTGTTCCAATCTCAGTGACTTTAACTCTATAGCCATTTGGTAAAGTGATCAACATAGGATACATTAAGGTTTTAATGTCAGTAAATAAGGATTTGTTGAAGGTCATATAATTAGAATCCCCTGATTCTAGAATCCAAATGTCAGCTCTTGACTTAAAGCATTTACATGACAACAGTCCAAAATCAACAGAAAGAACAAATACAGAACAAGCTAAAATACCTGCAAAATTCACATTTCCACCATTAGTGTTATTTTTTAAGTTATCTCCAGCTGAGCTAGTCTGAAAATGCTGGAGTAGAGTCACCAATTGTCCATATTGCTCTTTAGTAAGACTGACATTAGAGTTGTTGCTTTGGGTATGCATTTCCTCACCACTAACATGAAAAGTGCCAACTGGAGTGCTATGTACATTTGTTACAGTTTTCTTGCCTTTATTATACTTAGGGTTGTGATTGAAGTCTTGAGGATAACCGTGGAGCTTGAAGCATTTGTCTTTGGTATGACCAGCACGCTTGTAGTAATCATAAAAAGGACGATGTCTGCAAGTAGAGGAGTAGTTATTTGGAGAGTAATTAATTCTGAAATTATTGTTATGCATAGGTGCCCTGTTCAGGCCACTATGTGTAGGGACATTGGTATTTAGAGAGACAGATTCCATCACGAGCTGATTTTGCGATTTCACTTCTCTTTGTTTTTCCTCATGAATGAGCAAAGAAAAGGCCTGTGACATTGAGGGTAAAAGATTCATCATAAATATACTGCCCCGCACTGTGGTGTATACCTCGTTCAATCCCATAAAAAACTAGATGAGTCTTTTGTCTTGCTAAGATTTGTGGATATTTTCCGTAGCCCCACAGGTACATTGGCAAGTGCACTGTGATTTGGCACTTATCATGTTTAATTCCTCCCAAAGTTTCTTCATTTTCGTATAATAACCAGTAATATCAAGAACACCTTGAGTTAAATCATTGATTTCCTTTTGGATTTGATACAATTTGGTACCATTCGTTTGGTCGTACTTGTCCTCTAACTCTTTCCACAGCTCGAAGGCATTACTAGCATATTCGACACCATCAGCAATGTCTCTACACAGAGAATTCAGAATCCAAGAGATTACCATATCATCGCACCTCTCCCTTTGACGGAATTGTAGGGAATCTAGGTCTGGGCGTTTGTATTCTCCAATAATAAATCCTATTTTATTTTTGATTGATAGAGCCCTAAGAACACTTCTCCTCCAGGATCTGTAGCCAATGCCGTTGAAAGGAGCTGTGACTAACATTACACTAGTGTTATCCGACGGGTGCATGTAGAAAGGGCAACTCAAATTGACTCCAGAGTCGACGGGATTGGAATTGCCCGATTCTACTTCAGTTTCATTGCTTGGATCAAGGATTGCCATGAGAAATAATGTCAATTTGTCAAAATGAAGCGAGAAGAAGAAAATATCGGATCGAGGAAATTGGGGCAAAAATGGAGGCGATGACTGTATCTTTAGAATCCAAAAATTGAGAAGGGAATAGCTAGTAGAATACCTCGCTTTGATACCATGAAAAGATTGAGAGGTGAACAACAATGATGGAGCTCAAACTTGAGCTCCAATGGTGGAACCCTAGAAGCTTCTCGAAGGAGAGAGAGAATGAGAGAAGGATGAGAGCAAAATGAATTGATTAAAACTGAAAAAGTTATCAATACAAGATATACATATATATACACGACACGTGACCCACATGTGAGTGCACTAACTAACAAACAAAGAAGCTAACTAAGCTAATGTTTACCGTGAAAATGGTAATAACAATTAAATTTGATTATGAGGTTCTAAAAATACGTGATCTATTTTTATGCTAGTTATAAAGCAATGGATGCTAAGTAAAAGGTTAGGAAACAAGATTAAAGCTTAGAGACGATGTAATAATCGAACCGAGCGACTGGAGGTCAGGGCCTCGAGCTGTCGACTATAATGCCACGAGGTCGAGTCGGGTAACCGGCTTAGAGCGATCGATGGGGGACTAACAATTATGAAAGCTAAAGTGATGACTCTTTATGTCCAATAATAAGCAATAAATGAAGAACAATAAATAGAACACAACGAATGTAAGCAATAAATGGAAGTAATGAGATCAAGGGAATATGTTAGAGAGCAGAGAGAATGTTCTTGAGTATTTAGTATTGAGCAACAGGTATCTACAAATGACAAGGATCCCCTTTATATATGAGGGGGAATCCCAACATAGTACAATAAACATTAATTACAAAGATATGGAGATGATACAACTGGTTAATGCCTTGATTCGTACAAAGACTAGTCCACTAGACTTTGTCAGCCCTATTTATGCGCCTTGGGAACTCCCCACTTTCTCTTCGTAACCGTCGGTCTGTACTGCTCCGAGGTCGAGCGTCGATGACCCTCGAGGGATGAAACTCGACCGTGGTCTCGAGCCTTCGAGACGTGCTTTCGAGGCGTCGTAACAACGAAAGATTGGACCCTCCAATTTTACCATATACAACTAACTAACATACTTAATAGTGTTTACACATATAATTAAAACAATATCGCAATACCAATCAAGTACATAAATTTTAACTATTCAATATTTACGACAATATCACTGTGCGCCTATAACAATTGGAATTTGTAAATGATCATAAATTTGTGCCTAAATGAATAACCGCTTCTTAAAGACGTAACATAAAGTTAAATTTAATCAGTTGAAATATGTTTTATGATAAGTTTGATATAACGGATGGCAATAAAAATGTAGGCTCATTGTACTGGCTCATGTTGATCACTTGACTGCAATCGATTAAATTAAAGAAAATATATGCTTCTGCGTACAAGTGGGATCTGGGGAGGGTAGTATGTACGCAGACCTTACCCCTACCCCAAAGGGGTAGAGAGGCTGTTTCCGAAAGACCCTCGGCTCAAGATAATAAGAAAAACCAGAAAAACAAAAGGGGAGAATATTAGTTTCACCATAAATATCATAGGAAAAATAGGAACCTAAAATGCATAAGAAAAATACAAGACAGAAATGATGGCTAGTAAATAGATCTAGCACCGAAAAGAGAAAATATTAAGACACGACAATGCCCCTAGTAATTTTCGATTAAAACCTTACCAGACTAGGCTCACAATGGAACAAAGTAACGCAAGACTCAACTAGCTCCTAGCCTACAACTGTAATACTCGACCTCCACAAATTTCTATCAAGTGTCATGTCCTCGGAAATCTGAAGTCTCGCCATATCCTGCCTGATCACTTCTCCCCAATACTTCTTAGGCCGCCCTCTACCTCTTCTCGTGCCCTCCACAACCAGCTGCTCACACCTCCTCACTGGAGCATCTGTGCTTCTCCTCATTACATGCCCGAACCATCTGAGCCGCGCTTCTCGCATCTTGCCATCAATGGGAGCCACGTGCACCTTCTCCCGAATATCATCATTTCTAATCTTGTCCATCCTGGTGTGCCCGCACATCCACCTCAACATTCTCATTTCAGCTACTTTCATCTTTTGGATATGTGAGATCTTAACAGGCCAACACTCCGCCCCATACATCATGGCCGGTCTAACCACCGCTTTATAGAACTTACCTTTGAGTATTGTTGGCACTCTTTTGTCACACAAAACTCCGGATGCTAACCTCCACTTCATCCATCCTACCCCAATACGGTGTGCGACATCTTCATCAATCTCTCATCCCCCATGGATAACAGACCCAAGGTACTTGAAGCTTCCTCTACTTGGGATAACCTGTGATTCAAGCCTCACATCCACGCCCACTTCCCTCGACTCAGTGCTGAAAATACACTCCAAGTATTCCGTCTTCGTTCTACTCAGCTTGAAACCTTTAGACTCAAGAGTATGTCTCCAAACTTCCAGTTTCTCGTTAACACCGGTTCGTGACTCATCGATCAGAACTATGTCATCGGCAAATAGCATGCACCATGGCACCTCCCCCTGTATATGGTTTGTTAACGCATCCATCACCTGGGCGAATAAGAATGGACTGAGCGCAGAGCCTTGGTGTAACCCCATTTCAACCGGAAAGTGCTCAGAGTCGCCTCCTACCGCCCTAACCCGAGTCTTAGCCCCATCATACATGTCCCTAATCGCCATAATATAGGGAATCGACACACCTTTTGCCTCCAAGCATCTCCATAAAACTTCTCTAGGAACCTTGTCATACGCTTTCTCCAAGTCAATAAACACCATGTGCAGATCCTTCTTTCTCTCTCTGTACAGTTCCACCAACCTCCTAACAAGGTGTATAGCTTCTGTGGTTGAACGACCCGGCATGAACCCGAACTGGTTGTCTGATATAGACACTGTCATCCTCACCCTTGCTTCAACGACCCTCTCTCATACTTTCATGGTATGACTCAATAATTTGATACCCCTATAATTATTACAACTCTGAATATCACCTTTGTCTTGTACAATGGGACCACCGTACTCCACCTCCACAGTAATTTTAAAAGATACATCCACTATGATATTATGTCACACTGTGTCACCCATCAAGTCACATTCATCTCTAATTTGATAGTGTAAAAACGTTATAAAATAATGTATAAAAATTAAATTATATCCAAATATATTTACATAGGCTAAATGTTGTTAAGAACTCTCATTTTCTTTTCCTTTTGCCCCTCTTATATTTTGCTTTCAAGCCTTAATCATTTGGTTGTACCTGATTAATTTCAAACCTTCACTAAAGCTCGAGATATATAGTACTGTAGGGCCTGTGGCTAGAAAATTAATAAATTTATGCACTGATGGATGAAGAGAAAGCAGGACTTATGAAGAAAGCCCCTAGTAACCAGTTTAATAAATTTACCAGCAGAGGCGAATTCAAGATTTAAATCTTATGGGTACAACTTTTGAAGTTTTTAGCTTTGAACCCATTATATATTTAAAGTTATGGGTTTGTATCGACTATTTTTATATATAAATTTTTACTCCGCGTCGAAAGTTATGAGTTTAATTGAACCGTCACCGATGCACTACATCCGCCTTTGCTTACAAGCTATCTTTCATTTTCTGTTAGTGAGGCGTCTGTTTAAAACAAACTTCTTACCTCCTACTTATGCAGATTGAACGATATCTACCATCAAATATGACATGATAACTAAAATTCCTTTATAATTCTCACTAGGATTAATAATGATCCTTCTCACATGTACTTTTCTCTTTGAGGGTTTTAATTATTAATAAAAGTTTTCATCAACACTCTGCTTGGTTGATAATATTAAAAAATTATTGATTAGAAGCCTATTAGCCTTTCGTATTGAATCTACCTCCGGCGAATTCAAATTAATCGGTCCTGTGTTGATGAGCACTGGGGTGGAGTGGAGCTAGAGCTTCGGTAGCGGGTTCGGCCGAACCCAGTAGTTTTGATCCAAACTTTATATTTGCTTTTAATTTTCATTTAATATATATAAACTATTAATTTAGAACGAGTAACTTAGAAGGAATAAAATCTCGAACCCATAATTAGCTTCAAATTTTGGCTCCTTGGATGAGCAAAAAAAAAAAAAAATGGGAATGATAGCTTGCAATCTAACCTCCGTGTCCGGTTTGTCATCATCAAGATCACTAATCTCAGATTGGTAAGGAAAAACAAAGGAAAAAAAACTGTGTTTGATTGAATCATGATCGTCTCATAACAACCATAGTTGCTCAATCTTAAAAATTGTAACCCAAAAAAAAAAGGGAATTAAAACCACCGATCAATCTCTAATCCCACTTTTTTCAGCAAGGATTGCTTTGAGGAGGATTAAATAACTCAGTTTCAAGATTACTTCTACAAACAGGACAAACAGGGTGTTTTGAAAGCCAAGTATCTGCACATTCAAGATGAAACCCATGGTTACAACCTGGTACCAACCTAGCCAATTGTTCACTCTCAATTACGTCTAAACAAACAGCACAATCATTTCCCAACACCAATTCTTGGCCTGTAACTTTTGGCAATTTATCCAATTGTGCTGAAGATAGACCTTTTTCTTTTGGAGGCTTTGTATCTGGTAATTCTTGATTATTATTGTTTCGACCAGAGGAATTATTTGTTGTGGCATAGCAAAGGAAACACATGTAGACCACGAAAACAACGCTCATTCCAACACAAGGAAGAAAGAGTGCAAGGAAAACAGCGAAAAGCATTGTTTAATTAAGGAATGTTTGTACCGCGAATCCGAATTAATCAGAGCCCAAAAAAATTAAGGGGGTTGCTGATAATAGTGACAATGGAGGAGAGAAGAAGAGAAAGATAAAGAGTACTCAAAAGAGTTGCACACCATAATTGATGAAAAAGTTAGTAGAGAAGATGAGTGGTTTAAATACTTGGTGGTGTGTTATGTCCATCCAAAATTTTAAATCAATGAGTTAAGAGCCATCCCAATCAATCTTTTTCTGTATATGTATAATTTAAACAAATAATTGTATTCGTGTATACATGATTGGAATCGGAATGAAGTTAGAATTCATAGTTAGATTTCACAATGAATTTTAAAACATGATAGAAAATACTGGCATATAATGTTTAGAAAGAATAAGGACAATAGTACATTTGGTATGTTTTGCTATTTCTTAAGCCGATGGTCTATCGAAACAGCCTCTCTATCTTTATAGGATAGGGGTAAGGTTGCGTACACACTATCCTTCCTAAATATTACACATTTCAGTTAATTGAAAGTTAAATGTGCTCAGTTAGATATCACAAATTTACCAATATTTGAGGGACTAAACCATAAATTTTCCTAAATATTAGTAGAAGGAATTTGATTTATACACATCACTTAACTATATATAACTTCAATAAGTGGAATTTTTCTATATATNTGTGATGTATAAAAGGTAGCTCCATATATTGAGTTTAAACAGTACATACTTAGCTCCATATAGTGAGTTTATTTAAATGGTACATCATATCTACTGTCTTAGATTTAAGCTCCGTCTTTGTCGAAGTGTAATCAGAAATGGAAGTAACGTGTAATATAAAGAAGAGGCTGTTGCCGGTTGGAATGGGAAAGCAAATCCATGCAATGTTTTAAAAGGCGGGGCGTGATGAGAGGTGTTTTACCTCTGACGAGGCGAGACGAGGTGTAAGCCTTGAGACATGGGGCGTAAGTCCCACGGATCTTTAAATTTTATTAATTTTAAGAATTTTAAGATAGTATAAAATAAAAAATAATTATTAAAATTATATTAAAATCACAAAATTATAACAAATAATCTATTTAAAATATTTATGAATTATAATTCAACTATGAATAATACGAAAAGTATGACATATATCATAATATGCAAATTAGCTGCAACGTCGCTACAACTCAAACATTAAAAGTAATGTATTCGATATGAAATCTTATATGCATATTGTTGGATGATATAAGGGCAGTTCAGTAATTTCACATGTTAAAGTTATTTATTAAGTGAGTCGTTAGTTAGTTAAATGGTTGTTAGATTAGGAGTTAAGAGTTAGTTAATTACAATATATATATATATATATACACACACATCAATGTATACTCTCTGAAATTTCAGTTTTTTCTAAGTAGTGAAATATACTCTCATACTCTCCTCTATCGTCTCTCTCAACTTCTCTCTTCTACATCTTCGTCTTCTTCTCAAATTACAACATGGTATCAGAGCTTATGCTTGTAAGATCAAAGCTCATGTTCTGAATTTCTTCTTCTGCATTCATTTTCGAAAAAATTCTTTGAAACTCTAAAATTCTTGTTCTGAAATTCTTTGGTTCTGAAATTCTAAAATTTCTAGGTCTGAAACTCTGCATGCTCAAATCAAGTGTTAAATTCTTGATAAAGAATCAAAAAATCAAAAATGGCAGTAAATGAAGGAGTACCAATTCTGAATTCTGGGCTAAATACTGGAAATCAAGCAAATCCAGCAACTTGAATTGACTGCAATCATCCTCTTTTCCTTTCCCCTGCTGATGTTAGTGGAATTCAGATCATTTCATTTCAATTAACAGGTATTGAAAACTACTCAATTTGGAATAGATCTATGCGAGTTGCTTTATTAGGTAGGAATAAGCTTGGTATGGTTGATGGTACATGCGGTAAGGATAAGTTCCCAGATTCGATGGAAAATCATTGGGAATGTGTAAATGCCATTGTTCTTTCTTGGCTGATGAACTCGGTGGCTAAAGGGCTTCTTGGAGGCATTATGTATGCCTCTATTGCACAAACTGTTTGGGAAGACTTGGTTGAAAAAGTTAATAAAGTCGATGGCTCAAGAACTTTCAATTTACATAAAGAAATAGCCACTTTAACTCAAGGGTCTGCATCTGTCTCGGTATATTTTTCAAAACTTAAAGATCTTTGGGAGGAATTTGAGGCTTTAGTTCCTGCACCTGGGTGTGATTGTCCTAAATCAAGGGATTTTGTTAACTATCTATAGAAGTTAAGGCTATATCAATTTCTAATGGGGCTAAATGAGTCCTATTCACAAGATCGGAGTCAAATACTTATGAAAACTTTATTACCTACTGTGAATCAAGCCTATGCCTTAATAGTGAGTTATGAAAGTCAAAAATCTGTAGCTGCTAATTCTGGGATACTTGGAGCCAATCCTGTAGGAAATTTTGAAGTTGCAATGTATACTAGACATGGTGCAAGTGGTCAAGGTCAAAGGTTCAAGAAAAACTTCAATATTCTATGTGATTATTGCAAGATGAAAGGTCATATGAAAGAAAACTGTTACAAACTTGTTGGATACCCTCAAGAATTTAGACAAAAGAAGAGAGAGGGATATAATACAGCTCATAATGTCAATTTTCTGAAGGAGAATATTGATAATCAAAACCAGAATTCTGATGCACCTGCTGTTGCATATGGCAAGAATACTAGTGGTTTAAATCAATCTACTTGTGAAAGTCAGATGTCTTATGGTCAAGGATTAGAAGAAGATGCAAACCAACTAGGAAATTACACCTTCTCAAAGGATCAATATGATCAAATTGTGCAGCTGTTAAACAAAGGAGTAGTCTCAACAAGCATTAACAATGAAGATTCAGTTGTCAATGCAACAGGTACAGATACTGATACAACATTGTTAGTCTCAAATGGTTCACATGAATGGATCATAGACACTGGTGCAACAAACCACACGATGTCTGATACTAGTCTTCTAAATGAATCTACTATAGTTCAGACAGTCAATCCTAAGAAAATTTTGTTGCCTAATAGAGATGTGTCTCTAGTTACACATACATGGGCAACCTCAATCTCTTATAAGAGTACTATATCTAATGTCTTTCATGTGCTTCAATTTAAATATAATCTTCTTTCAGTCTCAAAAATGACAAAAGAACTACAATATGCTGCAACATTCTTTCCTGATTTTTGTGTTTTTCAGGATCTCTTCACTGGGAAGGTGGTGGAGATTGATAAAGAAGTAAGAGGACTATACATACTGCTAGCTAGATTGGCCAGGAATAGACAAAGGGCTGAATATGCTGCAAGAGGATTAACAGCAGGAGGAGTACATTCAATAAATGTGGAGCTATTGCACCAAAGACTTGGACATGTGTCTGTTATAGTAATGAAGAAAATGCTACCTATCAGTATACAAAATATCAGAGATAAAATAGAAAGATGCACAATCTGTCCCTGTGCTAAAAAACTAGATTACAATTTCCTTCTAGTGATATCAGAAGCATGTATTGTTTTGATTTGATTCATGTAGACCTATGGGGTCCTTACAGAATAGCTACATTTGATGGTAATAAGTATAGTTATATTTGATGGTAATAAGTGTTTTCTTACAGTTGTAGATGACTACAGTAGAATGACATGGGTATTTCTCTCAAGCAAAAATCAGATGTATATCAATGCTTACAGTACTTCATCAGTTTTGTCAAGACTCAGTTTAATAAGGTCATCAAGGTTATTAGAACAGACAATAGTACAAAATTTGTAAATTCTTTGTGTGAGCAATTATTCAAAAATCTTGGAATGATTCATCAAAAGACTTGTGCTTACACTCCTCAACAGAATGGAGTAGCAGAAAGAAAGTACAAACATATTTTAGAAATAACAAGAGCTATAAGACTGCCTGCTAATTTTCCCATAAGGTTCTGGGGTCACTGCATTTTGGCTACAGTATACATTCTTAATAGATTACCTAGCTCAGTCATTGCAAACATATCCCCTTATGAAAGGTTATATAACAGGAAACCCTCTCTAAATCACTTAAGAGTGTTAGGGTGTTGATGCTTTGCTAAAGTAATTCAGGAACATGACAAACTAATGTCTAGATCAAGGGTATCTGTGCATATGGGATATTCAGAAGTTCATAAAGGTTATGTTCTATATGATCTAGGGAATAAGTAATTATTCATCAACAGGGATGTAATATTCAAAGAAAATATCTTCCCATTTAAAAGAACAGAATCCTCTTCAACACCTATATTTTTAGACACTACAACAAATGTAGGATCATACATGAACAATTCAGAAGCTCTCTTGGAAAAAAGGTTTAATACACAAGCTGATGCAGGTAATTCAGGGAACTCCACTATAGCTAATGACAGTACAGTAGAAAACTACAACTCTGAGTCAATGCAGGACTTTCAAAATCACAATACAACTGAGGGAGATGCACAAACATATCAGAACAACCATAGCACAATAGAGGGGGAGTTACAAGCACAACAAGATAGTTAAAACATATCAACTGCAGCTCCTCATACCAGAAGTCAAGTGAGTTCAAATCAACTTACTATCAAAAAGTCCACCAGAGATAAACAGCCACCAGTATGGTTGAAAGACTTTGTCTCTCTAAATATTCATCAAGAAATAACTTATGTCTTAAATAAATATATAAGGTATGATCATCTATCTCCTAAATATCAAGCCTGTATTGCTGCTTTTTCATCAATTACTAAACCTACTTCATATACTGAAGCAAGTAAAGATCCAAGATGGATACAAGCCATGAAAGAAGAAATAAAGGCTCTTAAAGGTAATAATACCCGGACACTAGTCACATTACCGGAAGGTAAGAAACCCATAGGATGTAAGTGAGTGTATATCAAATACAAGGCATCAAGAGAGATAGAAAGATTTAAAGCTAGATTGGTTGCAAAAGGTTACACTCAATAAGAAAGAATTGACTGTCAAGAAATATTCTCACCAGTGGTAAAAATGGTGACTGTTAGAACAATATTAGCTCTAGCAGCAACTAAGCAATGGCATATACATCAAATGGATGTATACAGTGCCTTCTTACAAGATGATCTATTTGATGAAATCTATATGGACTTACCACAAGGACTTAGAAGTCAGAG